AATTGGTTTACAACATAACCTTTTACATTCAAATCATTTATCTGTTTGGAATTTATCTTGGTATACGGTGTAAACTAATTAGTCTAAACTAATTTTATGCCAGGCTGCTTCCAAGTTTTCCTAACAATTTTTATCAAATAAGGAGTCCCTCTGGAATTGGGGTCTTTGATTTTATCGAGTACTATGTGACTTTGTTGCTGTGTGTTATGTATCTAATCCATTCTACTGACTGTCTTTTCTGTTTTTTCATCAGTACCAATTGGGTGTAATAATTACTGCTTTGTGGTACAATTTTAAAATTTGTTACTGCTAGGCCCCCTTCCTTCTTTTTTTTCATTATTCCCCTTGAGATTCCTGATATATTGTTTCTTTGGATGAATTCTATTACATTTTTCTTGCTCTATAAAATAGTCCTTTGGTAGTTTGATTAGTATGGTATTGAATAAGTAAGTGAGATTTAAATCAGGTGAGTTCCCAGGTCATTGAAACATGTTCATCTCCACGTCTTGGAGATGAATTTCTTAACCTTTTGTTATATGCACTATTATTCAAGGTTGTGTTGCAATATTCCATCTCCGTTTGGGGATTTCTATAATTCCAAAACATATTTTTGGGGGGTGAGGCAATTAGGGTTAAATGACTTGCCCAAAGTCACACAGTTAGTGAGTGTTATGTGTCTGAGGCCAAATTTGAACTCAGGTCCTCCTGACTCCAGGGCCAGCGCTCTATACACTGCACCACCCAGCTGCCCCCAAAATAATTTTTCTTCTCAATATATCAATAGATTTATCACAGTTCATCCTTCCTTTAATGGGGATAAGACCTTTAAGCCCAATGGAAATAAAAATTCACTGAAACTTTTTTGGAGTTAATGTTTTACAGTCTGAAATGCCCACATGTTATTGGGTCACCTAGACTTCTGGCAACTATTTTAGTTTAACCTTGAATAAAAAGTGAGTTTCATCAGCAAAAATTACCATTTTCCAATCTTCAGTACTCCATTCTTTGTATTATCTGGACAACAAAGCATAAATGGTATTATATCTATGACAAATTTTTTTTCTTCATATTATTGGGTTGGCAGCTTCTAAAAAATTAAGTGTTCTCACTATTCTCTCAACTTTAAGAAATCTTTATCATCATGAAGAGGAGCTAGAAATGACCCCCCCCATCTGTCAGGTCCCTCTGAAGTTCTTTGTTTTCAAAGGTTTAATAAGGCTATTTTACAGAAATAGGTTTTCTATTCTTGGTGTTATTTTTTGTTTTCCACTGAATTTTTCTTTGTGCTTTGTTGTAACGTGTTCTATTTCATTATGAGTTTGAATGACCCTTGAAATGCTTGACTTCTCTAAATCAACAACCAGTATGATGTCTCTAACAGTCATTGAAATATGCTCTTTAAGAGTGATAACCCTTCTTAAAAACCACAGAATTAGAAACCCCACAAAAGATATCAATGGAATACACACGTATAGCACAAGATTCAGCACTAAAATCAGAAAGAACTAAAGACAGAGAAATCAGTTCAATAAGATTTCCAAGTATTCAAGCATGTGTTCTGAATCAGCTTAGAGTCAGTAGAAGCACACATGCATGACAATTGTTATCACAAAATGAAACCATATCAAAAATTACTTGGCCCAAACAATTTACACGCTATAGCTTCACCTCTTTCAACCTTAGTTTCAGCATCTGTAAAATGGGGCAATAATGACCTCACAGAGTTGCTTTTTGTAAATGAGATAATATACTTAAAGCTTTTTGAAAATCTTAAAGTGCTATCTAAAGGTTAGCTATTATTAGTATCTATTGTTTCACTCATGCTCAAAGCCTTTATAGTCGGTTAGCAGCTGCTAGAGCTTTAGCTCTGCCACCATAGGCTGGCATGATCCAGGGTTACCATCATACCATGAGGGAGGAAAGCTTGTGAAGAGAGTTTAGGTTTTAACAATTTTTTTTTCTGAAAGAAGAAAAAACTAAATTCATGTATTATCCAGCACTCACCAGCACATAAATTGAAGTCTTACCTGTGCTGTCAAGTACATTGTTTTCCTTCACAGATCAAGACAACGAAAACCCAGAGGAAATAAATCGTTTCTGCTGTGTTTTGGGCAAAGCTGGAATTAGGCTTATGCATACATCCTTCCTGGTTTAAAGAGCCAACAAACCTCACTAGAGTCAAATGTAAGCTTTGCTGTGATCAGGAGACTGAAAAAGGGGGAGCCAGACTTTTCAAATTTACACACATCACTTCTGGGGGATAGGAGGAGACAGTGACAGTTTGGTCTGATGCTGAAATTTCAACGGTGTAGGGAACTCTTGTGGAGAATCTCTCCACTGCTGCAGATCAACACCTCATCAGTAGCAGTCTTAGAGAGTTACTTTGCCTGGGGCAGTAAGAAGGTAAGCGATTTGCTCTGGGTCACATAGGTAATAAGGGTCAGAAGTACAATATGAATCCAGGTCCTCCTGATTCCAAGGTTGGCCTTCCATGCACTAGGTCACACTTCTTCTCGGGTGATGGAACAAGCAAAAGGAACTAGTTGAAACTTCTTATTTGTTTGGTTTTTTTGTTGTTTTTTAGGCAAGTGGGGTTAAGTGACTCACCCAGGGTCACACTGCCAGTAAGTGTCAAGTGTTTGGTCTGAGGCTGGATTTGAACTCAGGTCCTCCTGACTTCAGGACAGGTGCTCTATCCACTCAGCCACCCAACTTCCCCTTGAAACTCCTTATTTGGACTTCATTTTTACATGAGCACAAAACAAAACAATAAAAATAGCATTCATATAGCATCTTAAGGTTTGCAAATCATTTTACAAATACAATCTTATTTGATCCTCCTGTCTAGGAGGTATGTGCTATTATTATCCCCATTTTACAAACAAAGAAACTAAAGCAGACAAAGGTAAAGTGACTTGCCCAAGGTCATACAGCTTGAGGGGGATTTGAACTCGAGTCTTCCTGACTACAACCCCTGATGGTTCTATCCACTGTACCACTTAACTGCCTCTAAACAAAAGAACCATATAAGGATTTTTACCCACGTACAGTTTTTCAAAGCTGTTTTATTAAAAGCCAAACATTAAATACCAATATGAGCAAATAAATTGTTTAATAATTATTTACATTTAAATTAATTTCAACACACAAAGTATCATAACAATTGTTCAGGCACCTTGCTTCTCTCTGGTAAGTCCTCTTTGAGATTCTTAATTTATTCTCATTTGCTTTTCATTTTACATGGTTCTATTAGAATGCATTAGGGGCAGCTAGGTATCCCAGTGGATAGCACGCCAGGCCTGGAGTCAGGAAGACTCACCTATGTGATATTAAATCTGGCCTCAGACATTTACTAGCTGTGTGATCCTGGGCAAGTCAATTGACCCTGTTTGCGTCAGTTTCCTCATCCGTAAAATAAGCTGCAGAAGGAAATGGCAAACCACTCCAATGTCTTGCCCAAGAAAACTCCAAATGAGGTCACAGAGAATCAGACATGACCAAAAAACAATTGCGGCAAATAGGATTAAGGGACTTGCCCAGGGTCACACAGCTATTAAGTGTCTGAGGCCAAATTTGTACTCAGGAAGAGGAGTCTTCCTGACTTCAGGCCCAGCACTCTATGCACTATGGCACCACTAGCTGCCCCTTGCAGCTAACTGTTATTGTTGAGTTGGTTTCAGTTGTGTCTGACTCTTCAAGATCCCATTTTGGAGTTTTCTTGGCAAAGATACTGGCGTGGGGGCAGCTGGGTGGCACGCTGTGTAGAGCTCCAGACTTGGAGTCAGGAGGACCTGAGTTCAAATCCAGCCTCAGACACATAACACTAGCTGTGTGACCCTGGGTAAGTCACTTTACCCCAACTGCCTCACTGCAAGCAAAAAAAATAAATAAATAAGACACTGGAGTGGTTTGCTAATTCCTTCTCTAGCTCATTTGACACATTAGGAAACTGAGGCAAACAGGGTTAAGTGACACAGGGTCACACAGCTAGTCAGTATCTGAGGCCAGATTTGAATTCAGTTTTTCCTGACTCCAGGACCAGCGCTCTATCCACTGTGCCACTTAACAACCTCCACTTATATGCTGTTACATATATATGTGTATATATGTGTATGTGTGTATATAATAAAATATGCTGCTACAAAAACCGCTGTATGGATAATTACCTTGTTTTGTTTTGTTTTGCATATTACTTACTTGCTGTGAGGCAGCAAGCAAGCACAGTGGATAGAGGCAGATTTGAAATTAAGAAGACCCGAGTTTGAATCCTACCTTAGACACTTAGTATCTATGTGTCTCTAAGCAAGTCAGTTAACATCTCTCAGCCTCAGTTTCCTCATCTGGAAAGTGGAGATAATAATAATAATACTGACTTCACCAGGTTGTTGTGAGAATCAAGCAACATATAAAGTGTTATATAAATGTTAGTTATTAATATTGTTTTTACTTCTAGGATATATTCTAAGCAATGGAATTATGGATTAAAAGATAATGGTCTATAATTTTTAAGATCAATTTGTCCTCCCCAAAACATGTCCAGCCTATATTCACAGGAATATAGTGCCTACAATCATATCAGTCATTATCCTTTGAGTTTGACCCTCTAGCATAGGAATTCATAACCTGCGGTCCTTGGATAGAATCTAGGTGGTCCATGAACCTGGTTGGGAGAAAAAATTACATCTTTATTTCAATGAAATTGGTTTCCTTTGTAATCCCGTGTATTTTATCTTATGCATTTAAAAACATTATTCAGAAAATAGGTCCCCAGGCTTTACCAGACTGCCTACACAGGCCATGATACAGAAAGGGTAAGAAGCCCTGACCTCCAGAACTCAGAAATTGACTCTGCAGAAAACTGGAGTCAAGTAATTTGTCAATACTTAGATATAGTCTAAATGTTCGCGTTAGTAGAGAAGGGTTGTCCCATTCCTCTCCAATTGCCTTTGGGCTGACAAGAGTTCCTTCTCTTTCTCTTCTTCACCTCCAACCCTCTACAGGAATGCATCACAGATTGTGAAGTGCAAGACTTCCTTAGCCCGTTCTGGGCCCCTTGCACCAAGGCCATGAATAAGGGACCTTGGCAGCTCAGCTCGGCCAGCAAGGACAAGGCAATGGCATCTGTTCACCAGCCACAGGTGATGGAGGAGCAGGGCCCAAGCCAGATGGAGGGCAAGAACCGCGTGGCCCGTGTCAGAAGCTTGCTCCACACCCAGGAACAAGAGGCAGCAGAAGGCTTGGGGGAGGCAGGGGAGGAGATGCAGAAGAAGTTGCAGAAACGGTTTGGGGGCTTCACTGGGGCACGGAAATCTGCCCGGAAGTTGGCCAACCAGAAGCGGTTCAGTGAATTTATGAGGCAGTACCTTGTCATGAGCATGCATGCTAGTGAGCACCAACGTCATGGCCTGGCCCCAGGCCGCAACCTGCGTCAGAACGGCAACGTGTAGCCCGAAGGGGAGGCCTCTCCCAGCTACACCGTCCACTTCAACCCATGAGTAAGTTGAGCATTAACCCACTTTGGAAACAGTTGGAGGCAGCAACCTCATTCACCCAACTCTCCTGTCATTCCCCTGTACAGGACCCATCCATTTCCCTCTCCTAAGGAGTTTGGCTCCTGTAGGGACTAGGAGATCCAACCATCTTTCTTGCCTTCTATGAAGAGCCTGGTTGATATGGAGACTAGTAGACGCACTCTTCCTTTAAGAATCCAAGAGTTTTTTGGTACTGGCCCTTGAGTTTACCTACCACTCCCATTTGGAGCCTGGTTACTATGGGGATAATGGTACTCTCTGTTAGGTAAATTCATTCCTCTGTTTCTCTCCAGGAGTTAAGTTACTATGGGGACTGTTAATAGTGGACCAATTCTCCATTTCCAGTTACCATAGTTACTATTTGGCTCACTTTTCCCTTGGAGACTTTATCTCTGAGGGGCCATTAGCTGGACACCCCCCCCCAATTTTCCCCTAGGGGGTCTGGTGACTGTGGTAATGTTTTTACTACTTTCCCCTCAAAGACCACATGCAGTTCTTCAGCCTATGAGCCTCCCCTCCCCACCCCCAATCTCTCAAGGACACTGGTTTCCATGGAAACCACTAGACCTCTCATCCCAGGACCAATACTTAGACCTGCTTCTTTTTCTTCCCCTAAAGTGTCTGCCCTGCCTCTTCACAGGTTTGGATTAACTTCTACACGCAGGTTGCCTTGCATTTTTCTGATATCAGGCCACTGAACTGGGTTTTGAGGGTAAATATTCAGTTTTTTCCAGTGTATTCTGGATAAATGGGTATGGGTCTGGGGGATTTTTGAGCTTCTCAGTTCCCAGTTGAGTCTCACACTCCTTCCCAGTTTGTGCTTTTCTCTTTTTGCCTGTACACCCCAATTCTCTGCTTCTTCCTAAGGAAGTCTTGCAATTCACAATTAATTTAAATGTAAACCGTGTTCTCTCTTCCTCTTGACCCATTCCCATGCACAAGAATATGTATGTCTAGCTATATATGTGCATATCAGATAAAGAGACCAATTTGGAAATATTACTCTTGACTGAAATGATACAAACCCAACTTTCACAGCCCATTACAACTTGGGAGTTATTTGTAAAATGCATAGCTATTTTTCCCCCTGAAAACCTAGCATTCTACTAGTACAAGTGAATGTGTTACAACTCCTATGTGGGATTCTATCCATTTCCACATTTGTATGTCTAATTTCAAGTGGCCAGATCAATCCTGCACAAAATTTGAAGAATTCTTTAGGTATATTCAATGTTTTAATTTTTTTTTTTTAAGAAGAGCCCTGTTCAAGTGGTAAAGTAATTAAGGCACCAAAAAAAGATTCTCAAAGTCTGAATGTCTCGCTTTGAATTTCTTGTTTTGCTCATTCTGATGATCACAAATCAGGGGTAACTTGCCACCTGGTTTGCCAATAACCTTCTCTTTCTAACTTTTTTGTTTTTTTAAGGTTATTGAGGTTAAGTGACTTGCCCAGGATCACACAGCTAGTAAGTGTCAAGTGTTTGGTATGAGGCCAGATTTGAACTCATGTTCTCCCGACTTCAGGGCCGGTGCTCTATCCACTGTGCCACCTAGTTGTCCCTAACCCTCTCTTTCTAAATGCTATTACATGTATTTGTCTTTATTCATTCTATAAGGTTCTCTGTATCCCGGGACAGCCTACATAGCTATTTACCCAAGGACATGCTCATCAGCAAACAATCACATTTCCAAATGTAGACTTATGTACTAAATTGTACTGAAACTAGTGCCGGGGTGTTTCTTTTTTTTCCAAGTAAACTGTATGACTAATTCCTGACCCCCTGAATTTACCTGTGCATATTCTCTCTTGGGGTCATCCTGGAGGATCCATGATATCATTAAGGGGTAAGAGTTCTATTTTTCCCTGAGCAAAAGTTCACAGTATAATACAATGCCTAAGGCCGTTATTCAGCAAATCTTTCAAATCCCTTGTGTGTTCAGTCCTTTCAGACCACAACAAGGCCTTTTTCTTTTTTTTAATTGGAGCTTTATTGAAAGGCCTGCAGCTTGAGGTCGATTTCTGCACTCCAATCCTGCTCCCTGTTCTTTAATTGAATGCAGTTTAACTCACATTATCAGGATGCAGTAAACACTAAGGCAGTATGTCCTGGCTTGCTATCACTCTGGGTTTTGAGGAACCCAATTTCCCAGGGATTTGGGGGGGGGCAGCTCCTTTCTATTTTCCTTTGGGAGATATCGTCAAAGAAAAAATATTAATGCTCTACTCCTCATTGTAGGCATGAGTTTACCAGAAAAAAACCATTTTATTAATGTATGATTATTCTAAATTCAGAGAAAAATGTCCAGACTGACAGAGTCCCCTCATCCCCTTGGATATCTCCTTCTACAAGTCATTTTGAAATCCTAATTTATAGGATTCTCAAATAAGCAATATTTCAGTTGAGAACAAGGGGCTGAAGTTGAGATAACAGTTCAGTTAACAGTTTGCTTTGTCAGAGAGAACGGTCACCTAACCTTTGGCCCACCCTTGAAGAATCATTTTCCTGAAAGCATTCATTCTGTCTTTGACCACTCTTTTCATGGATTTTCCTTTCCTGCTGGTCAATACCAACCTAACTTTCATTAACTGAAGTAATCAAAGAGAATTCTTCCTTCTCCTAGGTAGATTATTGCTGTAATTGTTCAAGGTAGATCAGTCAAGCATCCCTTTCCCTTCTCTGATTCCTGCCCTAATTACTTTATGGGAGGAGTCCTTCCTAGGCTGATCGGAGAGAGGAGAGCAGCATATTATTTCAGAATTGACAGAGAAAGACCAATAAGGATTTCTTTGTCAGATTAAAACAAAAGCTTTGGACTAGGAAAATTTTAAATGCTTTCTTTAAAATATTTCTTTAAATGCTTCTCAAAGGGGGAGCAAGGGAGCATTTTAGTCTGCGAAGTGCTCCCAATTCTGGAGATTGAGAGCATCACAAAACATGATATTATTCAATAAACTGAGTTTGAAGCAAAAGATCTTTTCTCTTCCTAAGAACAGGATTATATCATTATGTACTTCATGCAGAGAAAATCTAATTTTCTCCCAATTTGTCCCCAATTTTTAATTGTATTTCCTCTAAAATTAAAACTGGAAAGGTCAAAGATTCAAGAGATTGAATCTTGAATCTAATGCAACACAGAACCTTTCGTAGAGTTTTAAAGTTCATATTTGAAAACCACATCAAAAAAGCCCATGCTCCACCTACCAAATGCCCATCAGACATCCCCTCCTCCAAACCCTCAATGAAAATTCCTACATCACAAACACATATATGAACTGCACACTCATAAACATGTACTAACACAAAATACCAACTTAAATAGGAGAACTTGGGTAAAACCCAGAGAGAGAAAAATATATACTGGCTTTTTCTGTGCAGGAAACCTGGGAAAACTGAGTTTGGGACTCAGTGTTTCAGACTTAGGTAACCTCATCTTCTACTGTGCTCTCCTGTCCTCATTGGGCCCAGGGTCTAGATTCATTTCTATGCAAGTACAGTGCAAATTTTCTATAACACAAGCTTGGCTATAAACAAACATACTGTAAGCACACAGTTTATTCACTAGGATCATATGCTTAGAACCAGAAGGATCTTCCAAGGCCTCCTATTCCAATCTTTCCATTTTGCCCATAGAAAACTGAGTGGCCGGCATACAATTCATAAATATATCCCAAAAGAATGAAAGACAGGGTAGGTTAGTGGCAAGAGTACTGGAGCAAGAATTTTTTAAAAATTGTTCAGGAGCAGCTTGGTGGTACAGTGGATAGAGCTCTGGCCTTGGAATCAGGAGGACCTGAGTTCAAATCCAGCCTCAGATACTTGACACTTACTAGCTGTGTGACCCTGGGCATGTTACTTAACCCCAATTGCCTCACCAAAAAATAAAAAAAAATAGTTCAAAAGACTTACTTTGTAGTTCTGTTTGACTATTCATTAGTTGTGAGACCTTTGGCATATCACCTAAACTTTTTGAATCTCAGTTTCCTTACCTATAAAATGAATATAATAATAATATATATACATATGTGTAGTGTAAAGATCAAAACACTATTTAAGTATAATGGATAGATAGGGCAAGTATGACTGCAAGAATGCAGGTCTCTGAGTTCATTCTGCCCTTTCAAGTGTTACTAAGAGAAATTTCTGAGTAATTTGCATGTCCCTGGCATTAGCTAGTACCAGGGGCACAAAGAGTATTGAAAGAGATTTGCTTACCTTAATCTTATTATCAGGTAGGCCTGGGAGAGGTCTTACCAAGGGAGAGAAAAATAAAGTTATTTCCCTTAATGAGAAAGCCTTTGCTGAATTACTGCTGTCATCTTCTTCTAGGCTTCTTCCCCACTGAATCTGTCTTTAGCTACTGAGTCTTCTTCCTCAAAGGGAATGTTTATTAATCTTTTACTACTAGAGTCTATTTCAGCTCTTTTGTTACTCAGGCCCACAGTCATGCCTAGCCAGCAAAGCAAAAAATCCCTACTATTAAAGTTTTTCTTTTTAGCAATTTTACTTGCCCTCAGAGAAGATTTATCAAGATGCATCTGGTATTTAGATTAAGGCAAATTAATTCCTTTCCCTGGGTAACTAGCACCAGAGCCTTGCAAATTATCCTAGAACTCTACTTAGCAACTCTGAAGAATCAGCATAGAACTGGAAACTTTTGCCATGCATTACTGTAGTTATACCCAAGTCTATATGTTCCTTTCATAAATAGGAGTTATTATTAATAATCCCTTATATAAACACACAATACCCTTCAAAACAAGATAGTTCCCTTTGCCTATACTATTGCCCAGTCCCTACCCTTCATCTGTGATTTAGCTCAGGTCAAGAAAGTCAAAGATCCCATCAACCACCAGATAGCTGTTCCACATTGCAACCATACCTAGTGACTCTGAATCTACTTTACAAGTAAATTAG